CATTGATAACACTTTTTTCCTGTTTTCATTTTTTAAACTATCACTAAAGTTTGTTGTGCACCCATTAATTAAAATCACCTTTGATGGTAATGAGATGTATAGTCTTCCCAATATGGTCAGAAAAATGACATTCATATTTTCCAGCATCTGTAAATGTCACAGGTAAAAGTTTTAATGCTGAGTCAGTAGAAAATTCCAAGCGACCTTGAAAGTTCTGCTCACTTATTATCTTGTTACTTTCTAATCTGATTGTTGCTGTTCTTTGTAAGTCAGAAGAGATCCACTTCCACTGCAGATTGGTAGGTTTGGTGAGTGTTTTACAGTACATCAGCATGTCACTCCCAACCAATCGAAACTTCACCAGTTCTTCACCTGTAGTCCCTGCAATCAGGTATGTAACAACAATTAAAATGTAGAATCTTGTAATAAAGGTAAGAAGTTAAACATTTAGAAGGTTTTTATTCACCATTTTTTATGATTCCAGTTGTTGTACCATGTTACAAGCCTATACAACTTCAACTGCGCATACAACAGGCAAAAATGCATAAGCAAATCATGCCTGATGTTTAGAACAGGAGAGATAGGTTACTGGAGTTTTATAAAAAAAAATCTTGATTTTTTTTTTTTTAAGCTTGTTTATCTATAGCCTACGTTAAAGCAGAACTTCGGGTAAAAAAAATGTTTTTAGCCCTCGCAGTGGGGTTACCCCTGCACTACAAGGGTTAAGTGCTCATTTATGTATAGGTTAAAAAAAAAAAGTTATACTCACCTGATCCTCGGAGATGGCCGGTAATGACATCACTCCCTCCAGGCTGTCTCCTCCTCCTCCACTACAGTGAGAGTATGTCTCTTGGGGTCCTCATGTCCTATACACTGTGTATAGAATGAGATAAGTCACGGGACCCTTAGACCATAGCAGCGGAGGGAGAGAGGGGCTCCAGGGCCCAATCTAAGAGCAAGGATCCGGTGAATATAAATTTTTGTTTTTTAACCTAGACACAAACAAGCACTTAACCTTTGCAGTGCGGGGGTAGCCCCACTGCAAGGGTTAAGAAAATTTAGACCCAGAGTTTTGCTTTAAAGAGCTAACCTTTTGTGTGACTGCACATTGTTGCTGATTATATGGGCACTGGACCCCTATTTTTATATAT